ATGTGTGGACTTCAACTCCCAGAATTCTGGGAGTTGAAGTCCACACATCTTAAAGTTGACATGGTTAAGAAACACTGCTCTAATGTGAGTAGCAAGATCCTGCAGATGCCGCTGACCTCAAAGTTGGACTTTTGTAATGCAGCTGGAAGAGGGACTGCTATGTACACTCATGAGTTCCTGAAGGAAATGGAGAATATAAATCTCAAAAATAAATTAATAAATTCCATTTGGGGGGTAGACTTTGAAGGTAGTCTGGAAGTTGCAGCTATCTCAGAATAGGAGAAGCAGGTATGTGTGATATAGCAACACCTACTGAAACTGGTGAGCTGTTAGTCCTCTGTTTTTCAGACTCAGTTGAAGGGACTTGCTTTGGTGTATAAAGCCATCTGTGCTGAGAGACTCATAACTTGCAAGATGTCTTCTTCTCCTGCATGGTTGCCCTGCCTTGAAGTCAGGACCCCTTTTGCAGAATCTAGCCCAACCAAATATACCAACACCCCAACAACTGAGCTGTTTATGTGGGGGGATAATTGATCATTGGACTTTACACCATTTCCTATTACAGTTTTGGGGAGGATTGAAAACATACTATTTTACTGAGGGCATTAGAGTTTACTTTGCCTGTATTGCTGTATCACTTCTTGCTTTTTGCTTGGTAAATTATGCAAAACCATTTGGGATTGGCATCTGCATTTGTAATTATCCATACATTTATATGCTGGGTATAAATTTGTAATCATCACCATTATGGATTAAGTGGAGGGTGGGGATGTTAAAGCCAGTGAAAGAGCCCAGATGTTCTTTGAAAGTTTCTAAAAACTGTGATATTAAATAAGTATATATTAAGCCACAGTGAGGTTTACTGGGTGAACCCATTGTGCCTTATAAATCATATGCATTGTGTGCAAGCCCAACCAATAGTGTTATTCAAACTATGGTTAAACAAACCAACATTAGATGCAATGTGTGAATCAGATCACATCCCCTAGATTCATCCTCTATCAGAATTTCTTTGAATCCATGGTTTCAAACCCATGATTCACCTCCAACTGACAAATGCAACACTTGTGGTAAATAAATGAGGAATTACATGGGAAGACAGGTAGGAAGCTGTCACAATCTGAGAGTAACTACTGATCCCCCAGGCTACTTTGAAAAGCACAGATTGATAGAAGAGTTCTCTAGGGTTTTCTCACTTTTCCTGGAGTTGCCAAGGATCAAAGTTGGGACTCTCTGCGTGCAAAGCAGATGCTCTTGAACTATGAACCAAGGAAGGGGAAAAGCTAGACTAGGAAACCTCTCCTTAACTTTGTGCTTTCTCTTAACTCTCAAGCTTATGAGATTCTCACAATCACCAGCAATAAGGAGGATGCAGAGACCAAGGAAAATATATCAATTATTTTTGAAGGGAAGCGAGGGCGCTCCAAAGAGTTCCTTCTGGAGAACTCCTCCAGAAAAAGAAGATTTTTAAGGTAGGTTATTATAATACCATTGTTATAATGACCTGAACTGTTCATTCATTATATAATCGAAAGATTATAATCAGCAAACTTCAGATTGATTAAAAGAATGAATCCACATACAGCTGACTCTATGGCTCATTTTAAAAATAAGTACTTATAAATATATAGCATTATAAGATTCATTCCTTGCTTGGGACAGTATGGAATGTCTTTCCTAAAAGGATGTATCTTAATTCCATAATCTCAAAACAAATTCTTTTTTCTTTTTCTTTAAAAGACTGGATGTTTACATTGCAACATAATATATGTTAATTGATTAAAGTGTTTTTCATAAGTGCTCAGAGCCCCTATGTTATCTCAGTGACCTGTGCAATGAGAAATTTTGGTTTGCTTGTGAGCACAATTATATTTATGCCTTTTAAAAAGAAATAAGTCAGGAAACCTTTCAGACAAATTGGAAATAGAGTCTCATCTGGTATGAAATAAATTAATATTATATGTGGGTAAGTCCTTACTGGAACATTCTACAGATGATTTATAGATCTATAGCTATATAAATTTGTGCTAAACAGTTTGTAAGCTTTAAAAATATTGTAAGTTACATTAGTATTACAACAACATACATTCACTTAGATCTTCTCATTAGTGATCGTTGGCCTGCTCATTATTAATTAAAGCTTTGTGTGGGGGGCAATCTGCAGAGGAGCAACAGATGTATTCCAGTTTTCTTCAAAGAACGTTGATGATATCGCAGCCATCTGTGTTGGTCACTGTCCAAAAGATGGGAAGAAATTGAGCGCAAAACCAGAAGTGTATTGGCATGTTCAGGAAATTGTCATTACGGAGATGGAACTTGGCAACAAGTAAGTGTGTCATAATGAAAAGATGCATGAATGACACAGATGATCAGCCAAGGGGATGTGGGTTTGTGGCACTCTGAAGGGTAGGCAGAACGCCCACGGTCCTGCCTGCTGTAGGCTCAAGTAGGCACGTATGAATCTGGGAGGTGAAGTCTATTCTGCTTCATTGCCTGGGTTAACAGGGCTACATTCCTTTGGAGTGTTTCTTCTATACAGTTTTTTTTAAAAAAAATCATGATAAAATAACCATTTACACTGGCAGGGTCTCATACGGTTGCCATCTTCTTCTAGGCTGTATTACTGGGCATTTCCATATAATTGCCACACTTTTTTCAGGCATTATTTTTGCAGATTTTTAAAAATTTGGGTAAGACACATGCCAGGGCAGATGTATTCCCCCACACTCACTGCAAAACCCAGTGGGACTGGATCCTGCAAATTCTCCTCCAGCAGAATTCACAGTGGAATTCTTTGGCATCGCAAGCATGGATCTGTGGTCCTCTTTTTCTCCGCTCTTTGCTTCCCTCCTCAGTCTAGGAGCTCTTCCCTGTGGCTGAGTTAAAGGCTCCCCATCCATCCTTTGGGTGGCAGAAAACGTGCTGCATCCATTGGCAGTCCCAACCCCAACAGAAGAGCTATGTCACCAGACAGTGATGTCCTTCTTTGCTGTGTATGGGCCAAGTTAAGGAGAGATGGGTGGATACACCCAGTTTTGTTTTGTTTTCTCCCTTTCCATCAAACATCATCACCCAGCAGGAAAGCCCCCACCAATCCCTCTCCAACCCAAGTTGATGGGCTGGAATTAGGGGAAACGGCAAGCTTTGACAGATGGTTGGGCCCATGGGTTAGCTTTTCTGTCAAAACCATGTGCCAAGACAGCTGAGAGGGATTGGGAGCTCCTTGGCAAAGCATGGCTACCGTGGTGAGCTGTAGAAAGGATAGCCCAACCATCCAGGCCTTCCTACCAGCCTCCCCACCAACTGACAGGCACCCCACAGCTGTATAGCAAAGCAGAAAATGTCCTACTTTGCCATGTTCAATAGCAGTCCTCAGAAAGCTGGGGAGTGGGGGGAGCATGACTTGAAGTGGCAGAGAATGACCGCTGGCTCATTGTTGCACATCCTCCTTCCACCCTCCTGCCCACCAGCACTGCTAGCTGTTGTTTGGGCTGATCCAAAAGTCAAAGGCACGGATTGACTCAGAGACTTGTGAGAACCACTGGAGCTTGCTTGGAGGTTCTAGCAGGGCAGCGCAGCTATCGTATACCCTTGGCCAAAGATCGGTACGTTCTTCTATCTGGGACGGTAGTCCTCTTCCACCGAGCACGCAGCTTCGGAAGAGATGTACATGGAGCAGTGAGGAAGGAAGGGGACACCCCCAGCTAGATCAGCTGAATCAACCCTGGCGATCAGTGGAGTGGCAGATGTCACAGCCAGATCACCCTCACATCCAGAGAACCACTGGAAACAGCTAAGCTTTTCCACAGACCAAAACAGAATGGCCATGAAGAACAGAGCCCAGGGCCTGGAAGGAAGGGACATGTCTGCACCATCCTAAAGTGGCTGATAGGTGCTGGGTGGATCCCACTCTGCTCAAGAACATCTGGGTGCCAACAACTGTGGCACCCAAGAAATGATGGGTGAAGCTTATCCCATTAGACACTGGCTTTTGCTTGCTTAAAGGGGAGAACACTAATTCTGGAACAACTAAGGATGATTTATAAATTGATTAGATAGATAGATAGATAGATAGATAGATAGATAGATAGATAGATAGATAGATAGATAGATAATGACAGATGAGATAGATGATAGACAGACAGACAGACAGACAGACATGATAGATATATAGATAGCTGCCTCAGATTTGGCTTAGAGAGGAGATGAAGACAATGTAATGAAGACACAGCTGAAAACAGGTTCCCTGAGCATGTTTGTGTGCAGCTGAGGTCAAGTGGGAAAAGAGTTACTGTACAGCACAATTTGCCATGTACAAAGGCCAGAGAATCAAAGCAGCATGAAACTCACCCCTCCGTGGATTTGGGGATAAGAGATTATCCAGTTCAGAATTAAAATCACGGTGAAACACTCCATCAGAGGTATTTCTTATGACCAAACCAAAATCCTAATTAACCCTAAGTGGCCCATCATAAAATATTATTTCTCTTTTCCAGCAAACACCACACGCTAGTTTTCGTAGGATGATTAAAAGAATGGGGTGAAAGAAAGGGGATGGAGCCAAAGATGCAGTCATTACGGAGAGGAGCCATGGAGGAAAGATTGTACACCCAATTAAATTGGTTTCTGTGCTTAAAACTGATATGGAATTTTGCCACCCGAAGGAATTTAAACAAAAGATGGGTAACAAGCATTCAGTCGGAAAGGATTTAGCAAAGCTGGAAAAATGCTTGTTAGAGAAAGTCAGTTGGCTCTTGCCAAAACAAAACGACAAAACCCAAGCGCTCTGCAACAAATATTTAATTGCAGGGGTAACTCATTTCAAATTCAGTCCTTTCAAATCCAGGCCTCCGTTCTGTTCTTCCGGCAGGTACTTTTTCAAATGCCATGCAAAAATCCCACTCCGCACCAAGCGGGGGGACCACAAGGTCTTTGAGTGTGCCAAGGTGACGGAAAGCTTCGCCAGCAAAGCTCGGAGTTTGGTCCCTGTCAAATATGAAGTGATTGTCGTGACAGGCTCCGCAAAAGGATCGGGTACAGATGCCAACGTCCTCATTACCATATTTGGAGCGAACGGGGATTCGGGCAAGCGGCCTCTTAAACAGAAATTCCGCAATCTCTTTGAACGGGGCAGCACCGATCGGTTTTACCTGGAAGTTCTTGAACTTGGAGAGCTGAAGAAAGTTCGGATTGAGCACGACAGCCGCGGGCTGTCTCCTGGGTGGCTGGTGGAGCGAATTGAGATCACCAACTCGGCTACAGGCATAACCACCAATTTCCCCTGTGGGAAGTGGCTGGATAAGAATAAAGGTGACAAGTTAACATGGAGAGAATTGTTCCCGAAAAGTTAAAGGCAACTTTGCAGGGGGTAGTTTTCTAAAATGTTTTTGCTCCAGCTGGCAGGTGAATTTTCCCAACCTGAAATGCTTTCCTCACCAAATTAAATTTCAAAACAAAACAATGTGGGGGTGGATGTGAATCTAACTTAATCCACTGCTTTTCAGGTTTTGGATGCAGAGTTTGGGCAATTTCATATTTTTCAAAAACAGATCCCGTTGTTTAGCAAAATCTTCATTCTGTTCAAAACCTCTTCTTTTCTCCCCCACCCAGAAAGAAATGTTATAACTTTCCCATCAGCTCTAAATAGACTTACAGATCACTTGCATTTACAGATAGTTTACAGAGGGTTTTTTAAAACATTTTTCAAGATCAGTGTTCCAAAAGTGCTCCAGTTCATGTGTTGCTAATAACTTTTTGCAACATGCATGGATAATAAATATAGCTATAATTAGCGATATGTAAAATTTACATGAACATAGAATTCACTATTTTCAAATTGAAAACATTTCCACTGCATGCTATGAAGCCATTTTAGTTTTCCCAGACTTATGCCTTTTCTTAAACCCTAATAAAGCTCTCTTTGAAACAGCTGTGGCATTTTATTATAAATTTCACTGAATTCTAAAACAGGAATTGATCACTCCAGCCAAGGTTGTAAACATGATGATATAGGAGTGATTCCTTCCATTTAAATGAAAAAAAACGTCCTTCCAAAAGAGGATACAGCTGGATCACAGTCAGACTCCTCCACACTGCATGGTTATGGTCCCTCAAGCTTTACTCACCTCCTGGATAGACTATTGTAAGGTGCTCTACATGGGGCTGCCCTTGAAGATCATTCGGAAGTTGCAACTGATCCAGGAGGCAGCTGTGTTGGCTTGGGTGCTCCACTCGAAGCACAAGGGACACCTCTGCTCTGTGACCTGCACTGGCTCCCAGAGGCCTTCCAGGTGCAATCTGAGCTGCTGGTTGCCTCCTACAAGCCCTCCATGGCATAGGGTGGGGTTGTTTGCAGGACCACCTGTCTCTTATTGTTTCTGTGTGGGGTAGGCATGCTCAGAATGGGTCCCTACCTTGGAGCAAAGTCCTGTAGGACCCAGGAGGCGTGCCTTTGCCATTGCAGCACCTGCCCTACAGAACGGCATTCCCACTGAAGCTTTGAAAACTTGGCTATTCCTTCAGGCGTTGGGTGGGGTATTCGGTGAGCTGGCTGCTTGGTTGTATGGCTGTAGGGTGAAGGAGAAAGAGCTCTGGGCGAGCTTCACCTGCATCGTATTAATTAAAACTGGAATAGCCAAGTTTTCAGAGCTTTGCAGAACAGCAACAGGGTCAGGAATCTACTTTCACTAAATTGTTAGGTTTTATTGTCATGGTTTTAATCTACTTTTAGCCACCCAGGGTTATAGAAGTGAGGTTGGCAGCTATGTACGTATGTATTTCTTTTATCAATCGAACTTGTATGCCACCCATCTCACTAAGCAAGTGACTCTAGGCAGCTCACACATAAAAAGCATAAAAACAGTTAAAAACACAAAACAAAGTTAAAAAGACTACCAATGGAGTTAAAAAGCAGAGAGAGCATCCTCAGGGCACTCCCAGTGTCAGGAGTCCCCTTTAGATCCCCAAGCTAGTTGGCAGAGCCAGGTCTTAAGGCTGTTCCCGAAAGCCAAAAGAGCGGGGGCCGATCTCACCTCGGGGGGCAAGATATTCCAATGGCAGAAAAGGCTCTCCTCCTAGACCCCGCTAGCCAAAATTCTCTAGCTGACGGGGTCCGCAACATGTTCTTCCTGCCAGACCGGGTGGGACGGGATGATGTAATCAGGATGAGGCGGTATGTATGTATGTACGTATGTGTATGTGTGTATGTATGTATGTATGTATGTATGTATCTGCATGTCCATGCGTGCTTTGGCTACAAAGGTTTCCTGGTTCAATCCCCAAGCTGGTTTGTTAAGGCCTACATTTTTTGCACAATCTGCATTTTTCTCCACGCAATTTCCTGAACTTGGGTTGTATGTTCACTACAGTGAAGTTTTTGTTGCTATGATTATATATTCAAAGTCACCATTTACTCTAGGAGGCAGTAATCTTTTTTCGGACTGAGCTCTATCATGTGATTTTGCATGATAATCATCACCACATCCCTTTGCCCAAACTACTAGCCTCAAAAGTGGTAGACTCCGCAAGGGTGTTGTGGTAGAATTAAGATGGAGTAAGGCTGGGAAGACCAGGCTAAGGTCTCCTCTCAGCCATGGAAACTCACTGGATAACTTTGGCTCATCAATCTCTCAGCCCAATCGCCTCACAAGGCAAAAATTACAGAGAAAATTTAGACAAGGAAGTGTGATGTATGCTCCTTTGGACTTTTGGAAGAAAACTGAATGTAAAACTAAAGGACACTTCTATCGTTTACCAAAGAACCAGCATGGCCTCCATCTCCAATCTGGAGTCCTTGCAGTTGGTTGACCCATAATCCCCAGCATGGCCATTTGATTTGCACTGCGTTGCCTTCTCTAGTATTCCTCTGACCTGATGGTTCAGAGATTTACCACATTTTTCCCTGCAAAAGCTTTTTAGATTCCCTGCAACCCCGGAACGTCTCAGGACCCTTGCTGACACCCAACGGAGGTAGCTGGGGGGAGCCAAACCCTACAATGGGCCTCTGCAGATTTGCAATTCCTGCAACGTTAAAATCTGACTTCTCAGCCCTCCCCCGAGGCTCATTCCAGTTGCTACAACAACGGATGCCAAGATGTAATAAAGTTCCCGTGCAACTTTTCCAAGGCAAGGATTTACATATATTCATTTAAAACGAGCACATTCTTGGCAAAGGCCAGACTCAAATGCTCAGGCACGAAGCCATTTGCTGCCGGGATATCCTCATTTGCTGAACTCTTGAGTAAAAGGCAGACTCCAGCAACACGAAGGAAGCTGGTGCCTTTGGAATTCAGTGGCAGGGTTTTGCCCCCCTCGCCCTACAAGTTTGCCACAAGGAAAAGTTCCTTGCCAAAGCTAATTTGTTCCTTCGGTTTGCACCCTGCTTTCTTTTTGGATGAATCCAAAGCAGCGTTTTAGCCTCCCCATGCTTTCTGTTCATTGACCAGCTGGCTAGCGTGACTTTTCTTTTCAGACCTTGTCACTCTGAATCAATTTCTACACGATGGATGAGAAATGCTTGAACATTTAGATCAGGAATTCTGGATACTTTCATTTGGTCAAGAGGAAGGGGAATGAAGGATGAAGAACAGGGATTCTGAAATGATTAATTACACATTGTAATCAGATGGCACAGACTGTCTCCTTTTTTTTTTTTTTTTTAATTCGAAAGCTGTTTTGCCAGGCTCTAGCTACAGTGCTGGGTACAAATTCTTCAAATCAGCAGAGAATTCTGGCATATTTCACCAAACTACAAGTTTCAGAATCTTTAGGTGGGGAATTTAGACAGTTATAACATAAAGTCTGGCAAACAATGTGTAGAGGGTGGGCTAAGTTGTTGACAAGTGGATAGCCCTAAAAAAAATT